AAACATTCTATGTAGATATGATTACATTTTTTATCAACAGATGGCAACGTTAAAATTTTTTTAAATATTAAAAATCATATTAATTTTTTAAAATGTTTTAATAATATCTAAAATATTATAGTAATATTTCAAAGAATAAAAATATAATTTTAAAATTTATAAATGTGTAAGAAAAAAAAGATAAAAGATAGTGAAATAAAATTAGAATGGATTACTTTCATCTTAAACGTGATTAAATGTAGGTAATTGTTCAGGATAAGAATCTGGTCTGCAAGCTTCAAGGCAACAAACATTGTAGCCATATATTTAATTAAGTTTGTAATTAAAGTAGATGCTTGTGACAAGTAATTCCGTAAAGGCAAGAATGAATTAGCCGAGTTAACGTGTTAATTATACGTTGTTCACAGTTAGATAATTCTCTTAGAGTAAAGTAATTCCATCCGCCGTAGTGCCATCTAGAAGCAAAAACATACACTAATTTTAATTATAAAATTTTTTTAATGTAATTAATCGGTGGGGGTGTGTGTGTTTTTTTATGTAATTAGATTATATTTAATATAAAACTAATTATATTTTAATTTTAAATTTAAGTACTTTGCGTGTAAAAAAAACTCTTCCGTATTAAATTCGTTATACAATAAAATAATTAGGAATTATGGAATTCTTATGGAATTATTTAAAAATTTTAAATTGTTAAATATTACAGGCGATGTTCGCTTGGACATCGCCTGTACTATTTGAAAAATGAATAAATAAATAAATTTACTATTAATTCCATAGAAACAATGCATATTCAGGGGTCCCTTAGCGTCGTTTAACTGCGCTTAATAGTAATTACGCCTGTAAGATGAACCTGTAACAAATATGGACTCCATATTTTTGTGTATTTTTATACATAAATAAAACAAGTAAAAATAGATTTTTTTTTATTTTTTACCACTTAAGAAGAGATATTTTAATTTATATATTTTATTTTATATAAAAGATTAAATTTTCGGAGTCGTTCCGTATCGGATCCGAATCAAATACCTCGATGGCTCCCTCTATCCACGGTTGATTGTAACAAGAAAAATGTCTTCTATATGGGAATTATAATAATATTATATAAAGTAGAATATTACGAAAAATATGGTTAAATTTTAAATACTTTGTATTTGAAAAATTGAAAATTTGTATTTAAAAAATAATTCGTAAAATATTTTTAATGAATTACTTATATGGTTTCCCATTTTTGCAATAGATGGCACTCGTATCATTTAATCGTATAAGGTTTGTTCGATTGGTTAAGATAATGCACACTGTTACGTCAATTTTACGTCATTTCTTAACTTGTCTATTGTAAAAACTTAAGCCATGACGTCAAATTGACGTTAGAAACGAACAAGGTTAAGTATT